GTAAGTATACATTGTGGAAATTACAAATACCTGCCTAACTGAAAAATTTATGCTACGAATACAAAATTACTCCTCGGGAGGACACATTTTCTGTAATGAAAACCTACGTTAGGGTAGTATACTGTAATTTTCGAAAGATAGCTGTAATTATGCTGAATCTCGCTGTATTTCTAGTTAATTAGTTATCCCTAGTTCTATATTAATTCTTATTCGATATCTAGACTAACTAAGGCTGAGTTTGGTAAGCATATAAGCTAACTTATTGCTTATTTGATTAGCTTATAATCTTTCTGTATTTAAATAAGTTTGGTTTGTTAGTACGATTTTTTTTAAAAAGCTCGAGCTTATCTAGTAAGCTTAATTGGGTAACTTTTCAAATAAGTCTATTGAATTTTTTATTTTAGTTAGCTTATCAGCTAATTTTACCAAACACTTTTATCATATAAGCTAACTTATAAGTTAAGTTTTGCCAAACATAGCTAAATGTGTGGTTTTCGCATGAAATGCAGCCGCAGGCCATAAGGATTAACCAACCGGGCCAGACAGATGGGACGGCCCAAGCTGCCCAAAAATCAGCTTGCTGTGGCTCTTGAGTCAAAACTTTGTTACAAAGAAAAAGAAAAACAAAAGAATTTGCTTGTGATTGTTGATAGGATGGCTAGATACATGCCTGAAATTTGACCATTTTAACTGAACTACTGTTGTTAGTCCTTGTTATTGGCTGCATGTATTTTNCTCATAATTTTTTAGATGCTACACTATTGTGTTTTGTTATTGGCTGATTTTTATTTAATGAATTCCTTTTATTTGTTTTTCAATTTGGTGTTTAAGTTGGAGGCTGTGTAATACTGAAAACCTGGACAAACGTGTTTGTGATTGTATTATTTTTTTCAGTTGTGCCATTTCTCTTTATGCTTCTGCTCCTACTCTGATATTTCTCTCTTTTATTTTACGAAGTAATATCAAAACCTTTTTATTATTATTATTTTTTTGAATAAGGAAATATTTAGTTACTGGACATTAATGTTGGGGAAAAATACGTCGAATTTCTAATAAGTCGGATCCATAAAAATGAAATGAAAACAAAATATTGGACACACCAAATTGATAACGCAATTCGGCCAATAATGCTTACGTCTCTGGATTACTGCAATTATTTTTATTATGAGAAAAGAAATGCACTCGTATTTACAAAAATACGTCTCAAACTCACTCACAACTCAAATACACACAAGCTAAAATATTCTGCTTATTCACTCTCCTTATTTTTGGATGTTGTATCTGATGCCCCCATTTGATTTCTATTTATAAATGCAAAAATGCATCAAATTTCAACATTGGTGGCTGCTCTATTGGTGGCTTCTTGGTAAATGCTCCATTTTTAATATTGGTGGTTGCTCCATTCAACAATTAATAGGCAAAAGAAGTTGTCAAACTATGTTTAAATTAGGTGTAAATGAAACGAGTCGAGCTTGAGCACCTAACGAGCTCTAACTTAAAAAAACATATGCAAATATAAATAAAGAATGTTTAGGTGTGTTTTGTATGTGAAATGTACATATGTTCACACCAAGGATAAATAAGTTGAATGAGCTCTAACTTATAATACTCAACTTCGATCATTTTATTGAGTCAAAGCTCGGGTTTTTTTACTAAAAGAAAATAAAAAAAAAAATGAAGTGGACAAGAACAAAACAAAAAAAAAAAAGTTGTAGAAAACAATAATACGTTTTTCAATACGTTTCGTTCGGGCAATTCGTCGAACATTTTATTCAAAATACATTTTTCAATGACAATTTATAAAGAAAACGTATTCTCATAATACTGGTTTTTGATTTTGGTCCAA